CATGTAAATGATAAGAATGGACACATTCTTATTGTACAATTTACGATGGAAGAACGGTTTAGTCGTGACGTGAAGAGAGAAACTTAGGAACCAAGCTACTCTTATGACGGTTGTGAAAAGATTTTTCGTACTTCGAAGAAGATTATATACCCTCACTGAGAGTTGCGATTGGGTATACAGCGGTCCCAACATATGTAGATCTGTAGGCTGACATCAACTTAGAGTTTGGGGCGATTTATCAATCGCTTTTCACTATTGTAAAATTACCGTAGGACTGAAGTGATGGGTTTCAAAACATCAAGAGCCATTTCCCTAAGAAAAAGAATCAAAAGGGCTGGAAGTCTTGCTTTAGATTTCTAAAGACACTCACTTTATGTAGAATTTGCACTCAACCGTAATGCTTTTTTCAAAACCTACGCCAGGTATCCTGTGTGCACCAGAAAAGTTTCCATGTGAATCAGCTGCGTACGTGGTGCGACGCTGCCTTTTGCCCTTTTTGACACGTTTCTCCTGAGATTTCAACGGAAATGCCCAAGGTTAAAACGTTCAAAATAGCGAAAGGCAGCGACATGACGTGGTGATACCTATGGAGATTTTGCTGGGGAACAAACGATACACCGCAATAAGTGTTTTGCGACGCCTTTCAAAAATGTGATTGCCATTTGAAAAGCTTGAAAACTCGTGCGTAGTAAAATCAGCATAAGACCTTTTTGGGGACAATTTTTTCGGATGTCTTATTTTGCAGTTGGTCTATAAGCTGCAGTTTCCTACTGTGATAACACACAATAAAAAAAACATGGGTGATTCGCTTTCGCTGTATTTATAAGATGAAGCCATCCCTATTGGATGTTACCCAGAAATTGGCAAAAGACTTTGAGAGGTATTGGCGATCAATCGGTGTGTAGATACTTTTAAGACACCCCGTATACGCTATGCATATCGAATTCTCGAATATTCGGTGCTTATCGAATTTTCGAATAGTCATTTCTTATCGAATTATCGAATATTCGGTGCTCGGCGATTATTCGAATATTTGATGAACATCGAATGATCGAATGAATGACCTTCGAATATTCGACTATCGAATAATATTCGAAATTCAAGATTTTCGAATATTCGACTTTCGAATAATATTCGAAAATGAAGATTTTCGAATATTCGATTATCGAATATATTCGAAAACAAAAAATTTCGAATATTCGACTTTAGAATTTTATTCGAAATCTCAGATTTTCGAATATTCGACTTTTCGAATCATTCGCATTCGAATGATTTATTCGAATGATCGAATAATTATTCGATTCGGTCCCAAGTATATTAAAGGCCCTGTCAAACATAACGGGCGACATATCCAAAATTAGCATTTCAATTAACCCCTGTAGACAATGTTTGAATGAATATTGAAGTTTCAAGATACTGGGTTACCTAAGTGAAATCGCCATTTTCCAGCATGATTAACTTTATTTCAAAGGTGAAGTAGCTAGCTTTGCACTTAAGACGAAGCACCAGTCCTTCTTTGGCCACTTCAAAAATCTGGCTTTAAAAGACCTCCTAACTTTGGAATTAGAAGCCAACCAAAATCTTGTTTTTCTATTTTTCGCTTTCAATGACTGTGCTTTCACCAAATATTACTCAGAGCTAACAATAAGAAGACGAATCAGGCTCAAATCACTCCTATAAAATCTACGAGGTCTAGGCTATCGATTCGTATGTATAACGTTCGTACGTTCCCCATTACCTGTTTTTTATATAGGTAATGGGGTGTGGCATCACCCCTAAAAAGCTGTGGCTGCTAAACTTTTTAGGGTTGGTGCCACACCCCCATTAACTGACCTTCAAACAGATCAAATAGCTGCATTTTTTATATCGTTGTTACTGCTTAACCTTCTTCTTTACATAGCAGAAATTTCATATGAAAACGTTCATCCAAGAGCAAGATATAATCGTTTTTTACCTATGCAAATGTAAAATGCTGGCAAAATACTGCGAAAATATTGGATACGGTAACATGCTGAGTCTGCGCTACTACGTGAATCGCAAGGGAAGGCGAGAAGAATGTATCGTCGAGTCATTTGTAACTTAATATGCTTAGTGCACACTATGCATACTAACTGACGAACTGTGAAACTAAAACCTGCTCATTTCCAGTAATTTCTCCTTGTTTCCTTGGTTCTTTTGTTCTAGTTGGTTTATATGTAAGTCAGTAGAACAAATTTCTACATTTTGTTAGGCTAGAAAATGTTTTAGTGGGAAGTATGGGGGCCGTCGCTAATAGGGTTTAGTGTGCAATCTCACATATTAAGTTACAAATGACTCGAGATTATATATTCGATAGCCTAAGCCTTGTAATCTACATTAAAGTGATTTGAGCCTTATTGGTCTCCTCTAGCCTGAGATATTGAACACGAAAAATGGAACAAACGAGGTTTTGGCTTGCTTTTAATTGCTTAATTTAAAGATCGTTCAAAGTAGAATTCCTTATGTGAGCAAAGAAATAGTAGTCCTTTGAATCAAGCGCAGAAAGAAGTAGGTAACTTACCTGAAACAGAGTAACTTGTTTGAAAACGACCATCTCACTTAGGTGGTCCTGTATTTGGAAACCTCAGAATTCGCTGAAACTTGGACCACAGGTGTTATTCACTTGCTAATTACAAAACGGTGCTCTTACGCTTTATGGATCCTTGATTATGCTTACTTTGCGTATACGATAATGGGTCAAACATCACTGTGCTAATATTTTGCATGGCTATTTGACATTGTTATATCATGTTACGCGAACAACGGATGCCATGATAACGACCCCCCCCCCTCTCCCTGATTACTCAATACGACCCTCCCCCCTCCCAGGTGTGGCATGCCACACCCCACGCGTGACCCTGGTTGAGACTGCTTACCTTCGTATCTTTCACAAAATAGTCATCTGGTTGGGTGTGCCACAGGAACGGTATCTCTTTTTCGTTCGCACTAGTCGGTTGCATTTTTTCAGGCACATCATCTGTGTCAATTTTTGATTCCCACTCTGACATTGACGCTCTGAAAACTGTGAGCAATGAAATCTGACCTCACTTGCTTAAGAATATATTTACGTTCTCCGGTAAGTACTGCGTACGATCTAGGGTCTTCTGCTGCAAGTTCTTCACCTCTAGTCTTGGACCACCCGTATTCTGTGCCGTGGGGACAATTGGCTTCGGTTTGAGAACTTGAGATTTCGTGACAACTTCCTAAATGTCAAGAATACGCTATGTTTTCCGCACGCTGTACTTGCATGCGTAAGCTCAATCTTTGGCGAAGCTGAGAGTAAATATGTTCCTGTCCGCGATCTTATCAAAAGAAACTAACTAACGATTAAGCTCTGCCCTAAACTTGCAAATAAAATCATTTTGTTATCACTATAAAGTTACTGAGATAGATTAGCATAGTGAGATGGATAGTTGTGGAAAGCAGCATCACGAGGTCCAAGGATATCATCAACTGCAATGACTGCGTTACTTTCAATCCCTCATCATTTTGACGTTTGAAATTCTTCTAAAGCGTACCGCGCTTGGAAAGCCTGGAAAATGAATCGATTCTGCTCGATCAGCGCTACTTAAACTCGTAAAAGTATATTTTATCAGTGATGTGTTCATTTATATGCCATCAAGATTGACAACGGGTTGTTCCAATTGTAAGCTGTCTTTAATTCTGATATTCGCTCTTCTTCATGTAGAGCGCGAACCATTAACTGTGTTTCGAACATTCAAAATGTTCACTGCCCTTCTCTATATGGATACGTCGCAGACTAGATCCAGCAGTAGATCCAAAGTTCAAATCGATTTATGCTTTTAAAGGCTTCCTCAGACAATCGGTGCCATAGCTCCGGAGGACAGTCGAAATCTGGCAGAGCTGCGGAGGGCCCAATTGACCATTGAGAGCACGAGGAGGCGGTCCCGTTCTGTGACGTCACGGTGACGGCACAAGAAGGCAGATGGGACCCCCCCCCCAGCGGGCTTGCAAATCTCTGCTCCGGATTACGCCAGATTCGGGACACCTCCGGAGCACAAAATGGGAGGGCTCCGATGCAGAAAATGAGAGGGCTCCGGAGCACAAAACGGGAGGTCTCCGAGACACAGAATGGGAGGGCTCCGGAGGTACACCAGATTTGGGACACCTCCGGAGCACAATAGGTACGCAGCCAATTTGCTGCATGCGCAGCTTAGCATTTTCGAAAATAAGCTGCCGTTGCTCTCGACTTACTCTTCTTTTGTTGCTTGGCGCTCGTTTTTCTTTTTTTGGTTTTTCGTGTTGCTCATCGGCGCGTTGGCGTTTATGTTGCTTCAAGTTATTCGTTTTCAGGTTTATTTCGGATTTTCGTGCGGATGCACTCAATCGCTTTTGGTGTTCGGCTTTCGTTTTCGACTTGCTGTCGTTTTTCCTCGTTCTTTTTGTTCTTTTTCTTTTTCGTGTTGCTCTTCGGCGCTTTTGGCCTTTATTTGTTCAGTTCCTTCTTTTCAGGTTTCAGGTTTTAGGTTTTCGTGCGGATGCACTTAGTCACCTTTAGTGTTTGGCTCTTTTCGACTTGCTGAGACATCGTTGACTATTGATGGAGTGGTTTTTGTGCTAGATCCTGGATTTTCGAAACAAAAAGTATATAATCCGAGAATTTAACGATGAAATAGATGAAGATTACTTAAATTCAAGTTTTCTGTAGGTAAGCCACACAAGTTAGTGGTACGGCTTTTTTATTTTAGTGCGCTTTAGTGAAGTCTGTTAGACACGGTTTATGAGTGTGCCAATGGGTAAAACATGTCTTACTCCGGTAAATGGGAGAGACTACAAGCTGCAGGCTAAGTAGCGCTGACTGTCAAATGCTACCGTATAGCCTCCAAGGTTCGAAAGCAAGGTAAGCATCGAGCTGGGTGTTAATTGCTTTATATAACTGTAACTGCTATTCACGGCGAGTTTGCATTCTATTCGCTTGTTGTCGACGTTGTGATAGCACTGTTTTCGTGCTGTGAACCCTGATGGATTTCGAAAATGCGGTGACGGTAATATGTCCTCTGCTCGAACTGCCCGAGGAACTGCAGAGTGAAGTGCTTCGCAAGGTGGGTGAGCCCTTTAAAGCTTTCAAAATCCAAGTGACACCTCTTTTCCGGTTAATGGCCTCAAGATGCCAATAGGACTCGTTGCACTTCTTCCCAGATGTATGCGATGGTGGAAGGGAATCGGATGTCAATGGCAAGAAGAAAAGTCAGATCTATCTCTATCGCTCCGGTAAGCAATCTACAACAGATAAAAATTTGCTTTTCTCCTTCATAGTACCTTACATTCTAGAACTGGAGCGAGCTGGTTCCCAGACGCGAGAACATTCCGGACGACGAGTTTGATTTTGGACGTCTGTTCCGTGTCTGTGATATCGATATTTATTTATTTATCAAATACATTGTAAACGATGCACCACCTCACAAATGAAATACAGATAGACGAATAAATATGGAACGGGAGTGGGAGAAAAAGGCAAGAATGACTTTGAATTTGCTCTCACTTTCGAGTCGTATCCGGTTAACAAATCTTATAGAATTCTTATATAAGTTCAGGAAAGGAAAAGCTCATGGGCAGCTGATAAGGCCACGAATGACGTTGTTGTAAGTGTAACTTCTGGGGAAAGTATGTATTTGATGGTGTTTTGTAGGTAAATAATGTAGAGTAATTTGGATGGCAATGGTGTTATGAATCAGGTCTCAAAAAACAATGAATGGGTTTCTTGCACATTATCAGGGGCTTCGGACACATGCATAGCAACCAACATAAGTAGTATATATTGCGCTCAAAATAACGAAGTGTTATGAAGTATTACTTGTAGCAGGTTATTTTCAAGTATTAGGTTGGCACATAAGTTTTGCAACTTTTCCCGTAACTTTTTTCCTATTTTATGTAGCAATCTCATTTTGTGGCATCATGTAGATCGTGATGTAAGCTGCAAGTATGCGCAAACCGTTTGATTTTTGACAACGTAGTGCAAAAAATCTAAGCATTTTTTGAAAACTGCTGAAAATCGAGGTTTCACGATTTTTTGGCAAACATGAAGCCCTACGAAACCTGATTCAAACATATGAAAAAGCAATGTTAGGCAACATGTAGCTGGAAGATGGCACATTGGAACCAGTGAAAAAGAAATGAAATTCAAACACAAATTAAGGTGGGGCGTCTTTGAGAAGTTGAACAAATCAAATGCGTCAAGTTTTGAAGGCAATTTGTCAATAACTAAGCTGCGAAAAGTCAGAATTTGCTATAACTTTGCACTATAGGGTAATCCTATGCGTTAAACACGAATATCATATTCATTTGTGGCTAAAATGAAATTCATTTTTGATCTCACGAACGAGATCTTTTGATGCCAAACGGATCTCATTTTTGTGATCAGCATGTCAAATAAGCCCTATAGGCCAAGTTTCAGAAATCTGATGCATTCTAAAATTTTTCTCATAGTACGGTAAACCTACCGTGATCCTCACATAAGATGGTAAAATTCGGCGAAAATGTGTGCATTAGAAGCTTACATCATATTCCTTATATTGCCAAAAAATGAATGCGCTACGTTCAAATAGACAAAAGTTATATAAAAAGTTGCATCACTTATGTGCCAACCTAATACATGATGTACCCGTCCATCCATCTATCCATCCATCGAATCGTCCATTCCATCCATCCACCCATCCATCCATATACATACATACATACATACATACATACGTACATACATGTGTCAGTAGGTTCCTTCACTAACTTCTCGCATTTCAGTTGTAGATAGATATGCTGCACATTGTTAATGTAAGTGCATTATTCAAAAAAGTTTTGCTACACTAGCGGTTCTGGCATAGATACAAAGTTTATTTGTTGGCAAGAGGTTTCCTTCCTAGATCACAATAGAGAACACGGTCTCTGCATTAAACTGCGCGTCCCGTGGCCTTTTTACGCCGGAGCTTACAGAATCATAGAAAGAGGGTAGTTTAGCAAGCAAGCTAATATTTTGGTAGTGATTACTGTACTATTTACTGGAATGTCATTGTAAAGTGTGTCTTCAATTCCCGATCGATTGAACTGCATTGAAAGGTGGAATGACAGTGCACCTGGAACATTTCTGTTTTATTCAGTCACGACGCTTCTGAATCTGTTTGGTAAACGTTTGTAGCAGAATCTGATAAAACTAGGCAACTATGAACATCTAAGTGTTATTATGCAGGACTCTATATAAGGTCATAATGGAAGGCTTCGAACTCTAATTCTGATAAGTTTTGAACTCTGATTATTTAAATTGATTATTAATGCACCAATTGATAATTATTCTACATACTAATTTCAAGGCTTTTACTTTATGACAAGAGATTTGCTTGATATTATTAGTGCAGCAAAATTCAGACGAGGGAACGATACTTGCCTCATCGTGATTGCCACAAATGTGCTTCACCATGTGTAGCACTGATTTGTTTCACGTAGTTTACGGTGTGAACCACTCAGTGCTTCACGGTGTGTGTTACCACCGTGATTCGCCACGTGTAGCACATGAGACGCTGAAACATGATTCGCCCGAACAGGGTTTTTATGCTTTGAAAATAAAAATTGAGCCAAAGTGTTTTAAACCAAAAAATATCAAACAATTTTCTTGTCACAAAGTATTAGCCTCAAAATTAGTTTTATGTAGAATTGTAGAATAATCATCAACTGCTGCATTAATAATCAATTTTCAATAATCAGTGAATTTTTTTCAATCAGTAATAATCATTACAGTTCGACTTTACTCAAGCATTCGTTTAGTCGTTTGTTAGCGTGCTTGTGCGGAATCAGATCCTCGTGACACAGTTTAGTTTTGGAATTTGTCGCTTCTCCTGCTATCCTAGTTCTGTCAGCTTCTGCCAGCTGCGAAGTTGACAGAACTTTGCATTATGACCAGCAGGCAGCGCATCTCAGTCGGACTTCTATGCTCAAGTGCCATCGTCACAAGAAGCGAAACAGGTGAGCAGTTTCCAGTCGAAAACTTTACCTTCATCATAAGTTTAGCAATTCAGCTGAACAATTGGTACAACTGGCAATTGGTTTCCCTTCGGAACGTCAACGTGATGATACCTACGGACACAAGCGAACTCAAGCTCAACGCGATGTCCAACAAAAGTTTTGTTTTACAGTTTGCAGTAGATTGTCTGCAGTCAATTTAAAATAAATGTCTTGTCTCTTCATTCTTCCATCTTCTATCTACTAACGCTGGGGGTGAGAGGGAGGGGGTAGAGGACGGGGTGGAGCGTCGTGCTGAATTCCTAACCGGGGGGGGGGGGGGTATCCGGCGTTCGTATGCCACACCGTTTGCTCGACCCTGGTCTAGAGCTAATTTGGGTGAGGTTTAGGGGCATAATTGGGGTTTGGAGCTTGATTAGGGCTAGTTACAGTATGCCGCGGGGGACATCCGGAGCACAAAATGGGAGGTCTCTGGAGCACAGATGGGAGGGCTCCGGAGCACAAAATGGGAGGGCTCCGGAGCACAAAATGGGAGGGCTCTGGAGCACAAAATGGGAGGGCTCTGGAGCACGAGTGGCAAACCCCGCTGGGCAGACCGGCGGCCTTGCCATTTCTGCTCCGGAGATATTCCTTCGACTGTCTGAGTCATAACGGCGATTTTTGACGATCATGAGAGCGATAATCGCAGGACATTGCAGGCGCATGGGAAAAGAAAAATTGTATTGTTTGGACTCTCCTTGCGAAACTGCCATGGGCTATGATTTGTGAAGATGCATGATATGTAGCAAACGTTCTTGCAGGCGAAGTATATGGCTACATAATGCTTCTGTTCCCACGTAGACTGTGAGGACGTACTCCCGTGCAATGCCCAGAAGGCGTTAGCGACATTTGTGTTTTCTAACACCTGCTATAGGACAGTACTCATTGACCTCACGGCCTTCCTTCCATTACCATCTTTCGATTTATGAGGACCTTGGAATTGTAAACTTTTCTGGAAAGTGTTGACGATTTAGATGTTTACTTGTACATACATATGGGAGGATTAGTAAGATAAGAGGGATAATTTGCTTTTGGGGATTTAGTCCATAAGGATTTGAAAAGAACATGAAATAAAGGCCTTTTGAATGATATGTGTGATGGCGCTAGTTCACAGCCACGCGGAAGTCCTGCTTGATTTGTAGATATACTTCGGGATACACGTAAAGACTTACGCGACTAGCTTGCCGCGCATGCCGCTCATAGTTGTGCCTCACAAAAACTCTTGCTAATGTGTCGGGGAGAGACCCTGTGTAGTGGGAGGTGGCGGCAGTACATAACTCAATGCCATAACTAACATGGCGAGTGCAGTCTGAAGCAAGTTTTTGGACTGGTCAATGTCGCGGAGCAACAACGCTTTGCGAATGTCGTGCAGACAATAAGTCAAGGCACGTATCCGTATTTCGGTATAACCGTCTTTGATTCTTTTACAAGCACCTGAGAAAGATTAGTTACATTTTTTGAAAACGACGTTGTACAAACTGATAACCAAACGTGAGGTTTTCGCAGAAGCATGTATTTGTCTGCCGCCTACATTTACCGCATCCGCTCGACCGACTTACGGTCGGCTTAAGGCAAGTATCTTTCTCCAAAGGAGAGGGTACAGACGGATGTGTACTCGCCTACACATGTGTATATTTGTATTGATATATGTTTTCAGAGGTATACAACAGTGTCAGAACAAGTAAATACAGAACCATGCGGTCTAAACACGAGCACAGAGCAAAAAGCAAGATGTGCCGCTAATAAGCGACTGTTTTTTCACTGAAACAGCCGATGGCATGGTTTTGAAACTTATGCACATGCGCAGTGGATTAGAGAAAGAACGTCTGATCAAAACCTAAGTGGTAAGGAGTGCCTCTTTCTTTGGAATTGTTGGCATACTGCCACCGCTGCTCCAAGGGTGCTCACATAAAGCAAACTTGGTTACGTTTTTCTGGTCTCACATCTTTGTAATTTTTCAGCGTAGTCTAATCTTTGGCTACTGGTATCGTAGTAACCAAAGCTTTCCCAACTACGCTTTTTAGTGTGCTGCAATCTGAATATCATGAAAACAGCCTTTTTTTGCTCCTTTATCTTTATCACTCTGCAGATGGCTTTACAAGCACACACAAATATCTCAAAAAACATGTCGAAATTTCTTGCCGAAACAGAAACGCTTCATTTCCAAATTCGCTAATGGCAACACCTGCTCAGCTCTCATTCTTCTCTTGCTTTAAACTTAACGCGCAAACTATCTTCCAGCAATGAGTGTTCCCCTAGTGAAAGTGGAAAATCAACATAAGGTTCATGCTACTAAAGTCAGGAATGAATGCTGATCTCAAAACTGCAAACCTAATTTGCAAGACGCTTCCTAAAAGAGCACGTGCAGTTATTTATATACTTGTTTGTTTATTTATCTATTTATTTACACACGAAGGGTGCACTAAAGTGTTGGAGTTTTCAGTTACGGTGAAATTTGCAACGGAAGTGCCGTTGCAGATTCCACGTTGCATACTGAGGATCAAAGATCGAAGAAAATGCACAAAACCTGATTCACGAAATGTTTTTACTTTTTCTCTTTCTGACCACAACCATCTTCAAAAGAGCGTTCCTTATATAAGGGATGCAATCTTGACATCAGTATTCAAAACTAACTTGAACAACATGCACTTCATCTCGAAGCTCTGACTAAGGACGTACTTCTCGTTAGCAAAGTGTCCGCTAGTTTGTGTATGCAAGCATTGTCAGTTTTTTAATCAATGTTCGTAAAAACTTGTTTGAGTTTCACCACTTTCTTTACTCAAACAAATATTTATTCCTTAAAGAATCTGATGATTACAAACGTTTGAATGAGAGTAAAACAATCGTTTCTTCTTTTACAATCTTGCTATTGAGGTGGCAGATACGTTGTGGGCAGTTCTTTTTCCATAAACTCCTCCTAAAATAAACATCTCACATTGCATTCGCATTACATTAACTAAGTTTCATGCCATTTCTCTCAACTCCTCTTCATGATGTCCCTTAGGTGCTCGAGGAAGTTTCTTCGGTGGACTTTTTCTGAAGCATGGCTTGTTTTCAAAGCGAAACTAGTAGTGGCGTTTTCTCACTTTGGTTGTGGAGCCTTAGCCGGCAATTTTGTCTCCTTCGTGTTTGGAACTATCACTGCTTCCGCAGATTCTTTTGAACCTTGGGACTTTGTCAATGACGATGCGAGATGAGATGATAAATCCTCTTCATCTTTAGTTTCCCTTGTTTTTTGCGTTACATCGCTTATATCGACAGAGTTAGCTGTTTTTGAGAAAAGAATCAGATCGTCTAGTTTTCCCTAAAACGATTTTTTTGTGAAACTATAGTGAATGCGGTTTTACCTCCAGCTTTTTATTGGCTTGTTCTGAGTCCGGAACATCTTGTGTTCGATCCATCAGATACTGTATTCTTTCCATGGTCAACTCCTTCCTTTTTTGTTTCTTGAAAGTGTTCAACGACTCTGATTCTTTCGACTTGCCATAGGCTAGAGGTATTACATGCACTGATTTTCCTTTAGACGTGCTGAAGGCTTTAGGTGATGGCCGAGGCGACTCCTTGGGCGTGCTTCGGGCTTTAAGTAGTTTTCGAGGTGATTCTTTGGACGTGCTGCGGGCTTTAGGTAATGGTCGAGGTGATTCTTTTGGCTTGCTATAGGCTATAGATACCGAGGGTGTAGTTTTTGCTTTGGACGCGCTCGTGCTACCGCCTTTGGGCGCCGTATGAGGAGTTTTCGGTTTCACAGCTGGTGATTTCGTTGCACGCTTCTGAAGCGCGAGCTCTCAACAAGCAATGCTACAGCAGACTGCCAACCTGCATGGGTCTCAATTTCTGCAAAGCAACTTCTCGAGATGATTGCGCTTTCATCTTCTTCTTGGCTATCAAGAGGAACTGAAATAGTCCCAACAATCTGACTTTTAGAACAAGAAGTCCACTTACAATCAAATTGTTGATGTAGATTAACATGACAATCAGATACAAATTTGTGCAATGGAAAAGCAAGAAGTTTGAGACTGGCATTGACTGAAAGAGTTTGCAGTTGTCTGCGTAGCCAAGAGGATCTACACATGCAGTACCCCTCGCTTACTTGTCCTGCGAGGCCGACCATAGGATTGCACTCGAGAAGAAATAACCGTACTAGAATATTTGAAACCTATTTATATATCTCGGCAAACAGTGCAATGTATGATAAGTGACTCACTCATTTTTACGATGGTGAGCAATTACCGGGTTGTTTACCACACTCAGACAATAACTCGGACTAGCGGCGGCCTTATAGCTTGCCGGGCGGGCGGCGGCGGGCGGCGACCCTTAGATTGTGGGCTTGGCCTTATTTCGGACGAGCGGCGTGCCTTCGCTAGTGAGCCCGCAGGCTCAGTAGCGAAGGTACCTTGTTCCAACCAGCGGCGGCCTATCTCCGAGCGGGTGAGCGGCGTTCCATCATTATCATGCTCTTTCGCATCATTTTGAAAAACACTCATTGTTGTGTTATTCATTTTGCCAATGGTTTTTCCATGATTTGTTGGCTGAAATAATTATAAGTTAGCTCTTGCCATCACATGCAATGGACGTATCTTCCCATTCATTACCTCTAGAAAAGGGAAACGAAGTTAGTTGCGGAGTTTCAACCAGAATTGCGATGGGAGGAGCCGGGCCCACCAAAAGTGAAGGTGGTATTAGCTACCACTGGCCGGCCAAAAGTGAAGGTGGTAGTGCCGGACACTCACCTACCAAAAACGTAAAAACGTCGACCGGGGGGGGGGGGGGAGCATTAACGTCTATCCTTCCAGGTCGTTGCCGTTAGTGCGCGAAAAATAAGCAAAACAAATGCAAAAGGGATCATTGAAAGCATATTTTTATGTATACAGCGTCATAAATATCTAAAATAAACGTGCTTATCAGTTTGTGTATTTGGCTCAGCAGAGTATTCAATTAAGTAAATTTTGTTATAATGTACACGAAGAAAGTAGATCGATCCAGGCCATAACGGCCGAGAACCGGAATTTTGAATCTTATATATAAAGCTGAATGTCTGTTTGTCTGTCTGTCTGTCTGTATGTATGTATGTGTGTACGTATGTTCCGAATAGAAAATTCCATTCCTGAACCGATCCGGACCAAACTTGGCACACATACACTTCGGACCCGGGCGGGTGTCATAGGCTACTTTTCGTCATCGATCGATATCGATTTTATCGATTTTTTGCAAAATTTGAGCTACGGGGCTGGGAGTTGGCACAGGGGGGTAACCGAGCATGCTAATTACGAATATAATAATGACAGGGCCGGGCGGAGCCGGGTAAGTCAACTAGTAATTAAATAATGAAAAATCATGCAAAATTTTCACTGTTATAAATCTGTTGTTTGAAAATGTTAGCGATTGCGATTTTATAGGTTTTGAAGAGTAAATGGTGCTCTATCAGATAGTGAAGGAATCGAGTCGATCTAAGAGAAAGTCGTTGAAAACCAGAATTTAAAAAGTTTACGCCATTTTTGCGTGTTTTTTGACATCTGACAGTATAAATCTTGAATGTGAAAGTGCGTGATGTTGCGACTTCATAGGTTTTGTAGAGTAAGGTTTACCTTATCAGATATTTTAGCCGTACCAATCCACTGAAACAACGCCGAGATCTAGGGTCTTGAAAAAGCAATTAAAAAGGCGCTTTTTGAAATTCAACAGCTCATAACTTCTCCAGAACTGCATGAATCGTGTTGCGACTTCATAGGATTCTTCTCATCATCTTCTCTTTCAGATTATGTATAATATGTGGGGGTTTAAGGCGTTCTACGACTTATGCCCGTGGGGGGAGACTTTTCATCACAAAGGATAGAGGACCATATGTCGCCGGAAAAGGGCGGTCCCCGCGGTCAATTGCGACAATTACGCACCCTTGTACATGCGCGGATATGCGTTCCTGCAAGGAATCCGCGCGGGACTCTTCCAAATTCAGCGACATATACTCCTCCACCCATCACAAAATCTCCTCTGGCGGTCTCCCTCCAATACATTACAGTGGGTTGGGGGAGATTTGTGATGAAAAGTCTCCCCCCACGGGCATAAGTCGTAGGAGGCCTCAAACCCTCACTATATATCATCTGAAAGCTCTTGATGAGAAGGATCTAGCTTATGAAGTCGCAACATGATTCATGCAGTTCTGGAGAAGTTATGAGCTGTTTCAAAAAAAAACGCTTTTTTACCTGCTTTTTCAAGACCCTAGATCTCGGCGCTATTTCAATGGATTGGTACGGCTAAGATATATCCTGATGAAGCAAACCTTACTCTACAGAACCTATGAATTCGCAACATCATGCACTTCCACATTCAAGATTTATACTGTCAGATGTCAAAAAACACGCAAAAATGGCGTAAACTCTTAGATTCTGGTTTTCAACGACTTTCTCTCAAATCGACTCGATCCTTCACTATCTGATAGAGCACCATTTACTCTTCAAAACCTATGAAGTCGTAATTGCTAACATTTTCAAACAACAGATTTATAACAGTGAAAATTTTGCATGATTTTTCATTATTTAATTATTCAAAATTCTGGTTCTCGGCCGTCATTTCCTGGATCGATCTACTATCCTCGCTGTATATTATAACAAAATTTACTTAATTGAATACGCACTCCGCTGAGTTTTACTTCCAAATATACAAGCTGATAAGCACGTTTATTTTAGATATTTATGACGCTGTATACATAAAAATATGCTTTCAATGATCTCTTTTGCATTTGTTTTGCTTATTTTCCTTCTTTATCGTCCAGCGAAAAAATTTTTATTCCAAAAGTGAAGGTGATCGCCTCGTACCAGCTCAAAAGTGAAGGTAGGGGGAGAATCGACTCCCACTATTGCACCTCTGGTTTCAACTAGTCAGTTACGGAATGAACAAATTAAGTTCTAACTATGACAGCGCAAGATACTGGCATAAGCTTCAAAAAACCTGCCTTCTAGGTGGTGTTTCAAGTTACAGAGGTGACAATTGAAGATGAAGGACGAAGTCTGAAATAGGTATAATTTTGATCTTGGTAAACAGAGCGCATAAGAATGTTTCAGGATGCATATTTATAACGGTGTCTGCACAGAATGTCAGTGATTCAACTGAAAATTGCCCGAGTTGAATACGCACACGCCACATCTTCTTCATAACTCGCTTTCACGAGAACTCAAGAGTATAATATATACTTCGGTCTTCATCTAGAAGATTTCCGCTACATTGGTGATCCTTCATGAAAGCTAAAAGCGGATTGACATCAATTATTACTGTCTTGTTTCATGTATAGTGACGTGGTATCACCGTCGTATTTTGCGTTACATTTATTGTTCACACAAATGCATGTGTTTCGCTTACATTTTTTCTAATAAATTGGATCGTGTGTTTGCAGGAGAAGCAAGCGCGGATTATTAGCGCAGTGGCAGCACCTTGTCAAATCCGTATAGTGCTGTAGATAACGGCAGATGGCTCAACTCTGCCGGGAAAGCGGTGGGATGCATATTAGTCGCCCGCTAAAGCCGTACTGCGCTCGCCCACTTTATTCTCTAGCGGCCGGCCGCGTGCCTATAGAGGACGGACGGCGAGAGGCATGATCGTCGCTGGCCCGGTAAGGCACTGCGCTCGTCCGAATTATTGTCTGAATAATGGTGCGTGGGGGGGGGGGGGAGGTTCCACAAGAGTGGGTCGCGAAATCTTCATAAGTTACTAGCTTGCTTTCCCGGTCCGCTTGGGCCGTGGGCCCGACGAAAATCACGTATGAGTTAATCAGACCAAGACGGGTGAAGACTCCTTTACCTCTGTCTATTTTCTTTTTCCTTCACCTCACTTTTCGCGACCCTGCTCCTGCCGAATCCAGGCAGCAGGGCTGCATATCTGGCAGCAGATCTGGCAGCGAATCTCACGTGGAAAGTAATTTTGAGGCCCAACTAAGCCACTGCCCTACCGGCAGCTCAAGTAGTCCTTTAGCGGCTGACCTATTCCCCTCGAAACTGGATCCAGGATCGTATTTCGCATGGACTCATGGCGCAATCCAACAGTTTCGTGCGAGGACCCACGCGATGGGCCGTGTGCCGCAAGTGCTTTAGTTAAAGGCAGCGTCCCAACAGATCGAACGGTACCTGACTCTAATACTAATATGATAGTAAGCACCCTAACTAAGCAATGACAGAAGTTTGCAGAGCGAAAGGTGATCTACGAAGTCTACAAATCCCCCTCCCCCCCCCAAGTGGCCCGAATCTTACGGTAGGCCCGAATGCCGCCCCCCAATCAACTTCGAAATGCAACCAGAGCGCGCATAGGCTCCGTTCATACTGATCCCGAAGTCTGGGAACAGTTACAGCACAGCGTTCAGCTCAAGGAATGAAAGCTGTTTTGCTGGAACTGTTGCCGGACTTTGGGATCAGTATGGACGCAGCCGTAGCGCACCGTCAAGAGCGCAGGGTCCTGCAACGACTCTGCATCTCTACCTTGCATGCATCTCGTACTCACCCGAGCCTACCGTAAAATCCGGGCCACTTTCGGGGCAAATTTCAGGCTTGGTAGACTCTCCTTTAAGTTCCAAACTTCAGTCATCGCTTAGGTAAGGGGTCTACTTTGACATCGCCACAGAAACCCGGCACCTATCTTTTTGCCGGGACGCTGCCTTTAAGGATCCAAAATTACTTTCCACGTGAAATCCCCAAAGGTCCAGATTTGCCTGGACGCTGCCTTTAATACGTTGCTGCACGTGGTGCAGCCGCGGCTTTGAAAGATCTTCTCAGCATTTACAAGAGGTTTTCTTTTGTCAAGGTTATCGAGTCAAAGATCTAAGCTCCTCCTTTCAAAAGGGTCTGCAGAGCTGTGCCACAAATTGTTGTTTAGGAAATATGAAGGGAAATTGAGCATCAGTTGCGACGAAGTGCAGCAACGCGAATGACGCGTGCGACGTCGCAACTTTTCGTTGCTTCCATTTCAAGGAGAAAAACCGTAGTTTCAATATTGATGTGTACCGCGTAGAATATAGATACTTTTGGATACTATGAAAAACTGAGTTCTTGTCCCTATTTTTCAAAAAGCACAAAAGTCTCTCTAAACGACAAAATTCAATACTTCAAACACACAATTCCCTCAGAACTTTGGGGTGGAGCTTGACATGCTGATTACAGATGTAGCACACAGTCTATGAAATAAGGTCCCTTTGTTGCCTAACGGCTGAAAGTACACTCTTTTTCGCCGCGCGCGATTTCGCGGTCCGAAACGTGTTGAAGGCAGTGGCTCGGAAATTTGCAACTGCGCGCTTTCTGTTCCTCTTTGGCCTTCTGGATGCGTTTATTGACAAGTCAAAAAATGCTTTTTAGGGGCGTTCTACGACCTCGGAGATTGCTGAGGAGACTGGAGCGGAGAATCCCGCAGCCGAGTCGCAATTGGTTGCCTGGGACAATCAGCCATTTGCGCCAAAATGAGTGATGTTACAGTCTCCTGCAGCCCGTCACTGTTTTTGACGGAAGTCTCCGCCCCAACCTCCTCAGCAATCTCCAAAGCCAGAGAACGCAATAAAAAGCACGTTTTTGACTTTGCACAGCTCTGGTCTAAACGCATCCAGCTAAGGAGGAAAAGAAAGCGCACAGTTGCAATTCCCCCGAGCCATTGCCTTTGAGGCCACAGCCGTCCCAAAATGAGCAGCGCTGAAGTGAATTGACTGGTGCGTTAAGTTCACTTGCCCACTTTGAAGCGAGAACAGCAATGCAACGAAAAATAAGGCGAACTCTGCTGGTCGCAAAAGTGTGGTTCATTCCCTCACGAAGTGGAGCGTTTGTATCTCCTCAAAAAGTTCACATTATTCGCAGGCTAATCAGGCATGTCACGAGGGCCATACGGGATCGTTCCATTCTTCATTCTTTTTCTTATGAGCCTGGCTGTGCTTTTGGATTGCTCAGATGGTGAGTATCTTAGACCTGTAAAGAACTGAGAGCAAAGTCGAAAGTAGAGAGAGAAGCACGTAAGAGTTAGGTGGTGCCCGTCATCCGGATCTCGTCGAATCGGAGACGGATCCCGCCGATGAGATCCGGATCATGAGCAACTAAGCCACTACGCTTAGATGAATGATTAAGTGACATCATCTCCTGAGCTTTCAACGAGGAACACCTATGAGACAACTATTAGCTTTGAGAGCTCGAATGGAACTGCGAACGTACAAGACAGTACTGAAAATGTAAGCCATATACCATACTTATACCGATTTTTGAGGTAGTGGGGACATTTAGACTACGCGTTATTTGAAATCTCAATTTGATGTGAAAAGATGGGAGGAACGAAAACGTGAGAAAGAACCGAATATGGTAACAAACCTTTTGAGTCTTTTTAGGCTTATCCGAGAAGATACGCATCGCATGTATTTTGATGATTGTTTTCATTGTTGCGATAGGAGGATCAGCGATGATTTATATTGTTCGCGTGACACTGATAGCTCGACAAATGTTTAGTAAGTGGTCTGGACTCTTTGCGGTCGATAAATTGACTATAGATACCTCTCGTTAAGCCTCGGGCATATTTAAAGCGATTAGGTTGCCATGCGATTTGGCAACTCGCCAGATGCCTTCGAATCCATCACTGACAGACCTTAAATACATAGCTTGTGTATAACTTTCATACTCAGACAAATGACCGGAACTTCAGCAGGACGTTTGGAAAAGTTCCGCGGGTCACCTACGGAAATACCGTAAACGTCCTGCGAAAGTTACCGTTTTCAACCGGTCTGACGTGAAAATTCTGCGAAAGTTCCCGTTTTCAAGGTTTTCCTTCTGCAATAGTAAACAAAATCCTGTGGAACCGCTGCAAATTTGCTTGTCCTGCGGAAGTTGCGGTGAATTGTCTGAGTAGATTGATAAATTGCTCTATTTTTTTGTACATTCAAGACGCTTAAGATGAGCTGAGCATTATTAATTGGAGTATTGCCAAATCGCGTCTCGACAGGAATCGCGTAAAGTATGTTTGCGGTCTTTGGGAGACCAATTGAAACGTGCCTAAAGTCGCGATAACCTCCGGATAACTCATATGTTACATTAAGAAGCACGAGAAATTCCTCGTCATCCACAACTATCAGCTGACAATATACGAACGGTGGATGAAGTTATAGATGAGTTTCAAGTAAGTTTTAAAACTAGTAGCTGTTATGATTTTATTAACCCACTCAGTTTGAAACCAAGTCCCGCTTACTGATTCATAACTCGTAGTGTCTGCTAAAAACCAAAAGCATCTTTTCTCAAATGATTTGTTAGTGGAGGAAAAACTCTAATTTCAGACTAGTATTCGAAGCAGAGAAAAGCGACAGCCTCTCACCAATGTATCAACTATGTAGAGAAAAATAATAAAAATTTTGCTATCACTAACATTTGCTGCTTGGAGACAATACTAATCAATAAAGTTCAGGGTGTTTCAACGAACAAAGAATGGGAATTTATTGAGAAATCCCATACATACAAAGATATGCACAAACAAAGTGCTTCCCAAAAGCTTCATTTTTCTATGGCACTGATATCGTCTTCCGCTAGGAATTTCTCCTAGAAATAAACAAAATGACATGGGACCTCTAAATATCTTAAACTAGTGCATACCATCTGTTCCAACTCTTCTTCATGATGACCTTTAGGAGCTCTAGGAAGACGAATAGACATTCTTGCCGATTGAAGGGTCTTATCCCTAAAGATAAGTCTTTCCATAATCTGAGTAAAGACTTCTTTTTGAACGTACGGCTTAACCGCTGACTGTTCCTTTGCTTTTCTCTTCTTCTTCTTTTTCTCTGTTCCAACACCTAATGCATCTTCCGCTTCCTAAACTTGCTTTTCTACATTAGCTAAGTGTCCACTAATTAAGAGGAAGCTTACGCTTGGTGGCGCAGTGCCAGCTAGAGGTAGCTCTGGGCTTTCTCCCTAAATTTTGCTCATAAATTTCTAATTCGTCGAAGGGTACCCTTTGTTCAGATAGCGCTTGTTAGCTGAAAGGCGGAGCTTCGTGACTTATTTAAGGCTAGCGACGGTCAGAAAGCACGTGCGCGGGAGAGACGCAGACTGCGTAGCAGGCGCGAGAGGCCTTAATTCGGTCACAAAGCCCCACCTTCCAGCCGCCAAGCCGTTTGAATCAAAGGTCAAGTCTAAGCCCTTCGTTGCAATAGGCTCTGCCTAGTACAAGTCTAAGCTTTCAAACCTCAGCCTTCAACTCTTCTTGTGTGGGTGCTTCTGCATACTTGAGGAACGGCATCTCCTCTTCCTTTTTCTCCGGGGCAAGCTTCAAGAAACCAGAATATTCTCAAGATCTAAGAGTCAGGATGTATACCTCTTCCTTCTTTTCTTTTTCGCTCTCAATTAAAGGCTGAATGTCCTCCTCATGTCTTACAAATATTCCCAATTTTAGATTGACTGAAATCATCTGAAAGTGCACCTTATTTAATACAAACGCTTCCCCTCCCTCCTTTTCCCCATAACCTCAGACGATTCATCGGAACTTCCCGAAGGCTGTGAGAGAACTCTCTTCGGGACACCTAGGAAAGTTCCAGTAAAGTCCTTGGGAAGTTTTGCAAATAAATCGTCGGAAAGGTGGCAAGAAATGGGAACTTCCCGAGGACATCTTTAGGGACTTCCCGAAGGCTCTAGATGGAATTTGTGTAGCTGTACATAAGCGCAATAATAAATCTTGCTCTTTCTCTTCGAAGCTGCAGTTTGACGTCAAAGTTCTCGGGAAATTCCCATTTTTGCGCCCATTCAGTCTGAACTAAATGAAAACCTCGGAAAGCTTGCCAAAGTCGCTTGTCCTCGGGAAGTTCCCATCTTTTGTCTGAGAAATCAGTCCTTACCAGAAGAGTGTTCAGATACATGGCAAGAACAATCATATAGCCGCAACCACAACTTCTAAGCGTTAAAGCGACATCCATCTGTGGTGGAGGATCGCTCTGAGATTTCACACTGTGCTGAAGTTCTCAAACGACAATTGACCAACTGACGTATAATTCCTTCACCATGACGAATTGTACGAGGTGTGACTGCTCAACAAAACATGAAAATGAAACTCACCGTTATTTCGACTTCTATTTTGAAACAAAAACAACAATTTTGTGCCTGCTTCAACACGTACTTACAAAAATCACTTTGATATGAGGTTGGTTCATTTTTGAAGCTATACAGGAAGAGTGCCTTCTCACGCGACAGCATTCACCAGGCTGCGTGAACATCCTGAACGCAGTGTCCGAACAAAAACTCGAATTCTAACTTTTCTCTCACTCAGGATCTGCTACGTTGAGTCCGAAAATGCATTAGGAAGCGCGAAAATGGCAAAAACAGGCGTTTCTCGCAACCGATTTGACTCTGAACGAGTGGAGCACTTCCTGCCAGCGAGACCAGAGTCGCTGTAGGACTTTATCTTCTTGAATGTCGGGGAATGAGCGCTCTAGCTGGCGGGCTTGCCCCCGAGGCATATGTCTCCCATTTTTCCAACAGATTTCTCGCTTCTGCTTCAATATTATGTCTTTGCACTTGCGGAAAAAAATGTCTGAGGGCATCCATTTCAGCTAGAGTAAGGTCCCACCATTAACCTTGCCCTGGCATTTCCTTTAAAAGATTTTGCCCTTTGCAATTTTCGGTCACGTGAACACCAGCAAATTTTACTCTTGGCTATAAAGAATCAATGCAACCGGAAAGATTTTTTTCTTACTCATATGATGCCTTCAATTTGAAAAAAATGAAAAAAATCTCAAACTTTGAACCTGAAGTGCTTGATGCAATTAACATATCAAGCACCATACAACTAGTAATGACCTCCTTTCTGGGAATATCAGAATGAATTTGGTAAAGCATTTTTATTCGACTGATAAAAATTTTACCAAACCTGTCATCTTGATGAGCACTTTTCTATTTTCTAAACTACCGCGACATAACATTAAAATAATTGTTACTGACACTCCCAAAGTTTCTGCTGTCATCAATTTTTACGACTATCACAATAATTAAGAGAAGTGCTTCTTATAGAATGTTATCTGTGTAAGTTGTTTCTCAGTCCATTATATTGTGCTCCTTGTTGTTCTTTACTCTATTCATGCGCAGATTATACCGTGGATGGACATTCGTTATACTCTGACTTTGTAAATCATCCTCTCTAAGGCCCCGGTCAGACTTCACGCGACTTAATCGTCGCGATCTAAACGCCAAGATTTCCATTCATTTTCATTTCACATTCAAAAATTTCGGGCTGGAAAAGTATCACAACCAAATGAAAGCTGATCAGCATGGAATGATGTTGTAACAGTTGTCTCGTCGCGATTTAGTCGCGACGATCAAATCGCGTGAAGTCTGCCCGGGGCCTAAGGACAAAAATGTCTTATGTTAGCAGGAGCTTTGTGTGAATGACGGATTTTTACAACGGTTTTTTTTCCGAAAAATTCAATGAAATTTTTGGCCTTCGGATATCAAATGTTCATTGTTGTTCATGTTCAATGCTCAATAATATCTGTAATCACAAAAAATCTTGATTTACTCAGGCATTCAAAACGAGACACATTCATAACCAAAACAAGGGGACAATCAGCAACATACTTAGAAAGATTATTGTATACAAACTAACATGACTGGTATTGAGTTATTTGGTCTCTCTTTTCTAATCCGCTTCTCAATTCTCATCGTGTTTGATTATCGTGTAGAATAAGTTTTCCGCTTTTTCAAGCCAGCCGACATAACGCTTACCCAGTATTCTCAAATCTTTGATGGTATTCTCTACAGCTTTCTCCGCTTTTCTTTCACCAACCTCCTAGAATGAAAGCAACTAGTAATTAGTTCTTAAATATGGCTGGATTATGTTCTATACCTTGGCAACTTCCTTTTTTACTGCAGCTATGACTTCTTCTTGAGAGGATCCTTTCCCAGCTTCTTGTTCCAAAACCAAGCGTACCTAAACGAATTGAAAAATTTTCTTTAGCAAAAATTTAAAGGTAAGGCATGAGGAAAACTAGCTTTTCTCGTTAATGCCAAAAAAATTATATCATTGAAAAGCTTCACTTTGCTTATTTTTCTTATGATATCAATGCTCAAAATGACTTCATGTTCTTTAGAAACTTGCAGACTTTTTAGAAACTCTCAAATAAAAAATTTAAGTGGTGTCTTTTTCCATATCTCAAGCAACTAGTAGAGTGATTGGTGTATTTTTTGCAAGAACATGTGAAAAATTCCTTATGGAGAGCTGTAGAAAGAAGATATTATTATATTATAGATTGTTCGAATATTGTCTAAAAACTCACTTTTCTTATCTGCTCCTTTGTAAGGTAATACCCTAGAACTTTGCCGACTCGCTCCTTTACATATTCTATCCTCCTAAAAGAATTATTGCAATGAAGACGACAAAAAATTTAATTTCTAACTTGTCGTGCAGGTAATTCTTGATAAAAGCGTCCTTGATCTCCTCAGTTTTGTTTTCCAGATAATCGTCGTAAAGCTGTTGTACTTTCCCAGAATCATAACCATAGAGAACGACTTGTTTTGCTAGCTATAAATAAAATAATTAGCTCTGATTTTATAGCAATGAGCGATCTACCTGATGCAGCTCCTCTTCTGAAGCTCCTGTATCTTTCATAGCTATTGTCATAGCCATAGAAATGTCTATGTATTGTCCAACATAATCAGCATCAGCGCAGACTGTGGGAATCATCCATAGTGAACAGATAGTTATCATAATAGGGAGCATGGTTAGCTTTCTGAATGGGAGGTATTTATGTACTGCGAATCACCGTATATTTTTTGGGAGCAGAATTGATTCCATATGCATGCTTTATCCATGGCATTTGAAAGTAATCCAAGTCTCAAAATCCTATCAGTTGCAGAGACAACAAAAAATTAATTTTCCAGTTATTTTGAATGGACACATTGTTTAAATAATGTGAAAAATGCTGACGTCAAAATGCAGCACATCGCTAGTTTGAGCTTAGTTTCCCAAAATTTGCCGCACAGCCACATCCCAATTCAAATCACTTAAAAGGTGCCGTTCCACTCGGCTTGAAGTCGCACATCTTCTGATATAAAAAACTGCCATAGCTTATCGGGTTACGGTAGGTGTACGATAGCTAGTCATATTTCACAAAACTCTTTAGATTACAAGCAAATGGGTTACTCAGTATGCTGATTAAGACATTCCCATCTATATAATGCTGGCGGTATGGAGAAGTACGGTAGGATTGCGGTAACAAGTCAAAGTGTACAGATTTGTCTCAACGACGCTGTTTTTCTTTTTAAACAGGTTATGACCTGTTTTATAGTCTGCGTTCAAACACAGTATCTGCAAAAACAAGAATAAACGGGGTTCGGAAAATTAAACGTTTAGCCTCTACGGACGATCATGAGTAAGTATTTTAGTTTTTGATCAAATTATTAAGTTTAAAGAACCTGACGACATCATTTTTCTATCCTCTTATCCGTTCTTTAAAACAGCAAGTCACAGGGAATTACGGTAAATTTGAAGTCCATAAAATCTTTTTTTCGAGTCAAACCACTCCACAATTACCCGCAATGTACTGCTTGAAGGATTAACGACCAAAAAATCAATATAAGAAACACAAAAGGTTTTCAAACACAAATGATAAAAATGATGTATAAGCAGACTTATTGCCCTAAATGCTGCTGATAGCTGAGAACGATACGAATGAGGAAAATCTCCGAGAGTGAATGTTTGACCAGCTGACCAAATCAGTTATCGTCCCACTGGAACAGCAGCAAATTTCCAATGCACTGTAGCAGTGCCACTCATTGTATTGCGAACACATAGATACATGAATAAACCTTCATCTACAAATGAGTTTCAAAATATTACAGAGGTGCGAAAATCCTAGAGTATGAAAAAATGCAAAAATTAGAATGACTTGTAGGGATTCATAATGCCGTTAGGATCGAAGATTGACTTGATTCGACGGACAATTTCTCGCTCAGCTGGCGATTTGCCAAGATTTGCATACGGTAACTTCATTTGGCCAATACCGTGTTCAGCAGAGATAGATCCATCATGAGCATTCACCCATTCATAGATGAATGGATAGAGCCTGGAATGGATTAATTATTCTTGAAAAATAACGTTTTTGCAGGTAGCGACTATAGTCATTAGGAAATTGTGAACTAACATTCTGTGTTCAGAAAAAATATGGAAAAAGTGCAAAAAAAAAGACTCAAGATCGACGAAAATCATAGAATTTTCCCGTCATTTATCAACAGTAAGAGGTTGTTGGACTAATTTCAAAAAATTGGGATTGCCGGGTTTTCTCAAATCCAAATAAAGTGTTTCTCTACGTGCGCTTATTGTATTGTTATTATTTGCTACAAATGGATCACCTGTCATATAAATCCTTGCTATACTCCTTAGCTGTAATGTTCAGATGACTGTTACCATCACCCAGATGCCCATACGTGACAATCCTTTTTGTCATAGACGAACATCTCTTTCTAATCTCCTAAAGCAACAAATTATGCCGACGACGAGAATTGTTCTCAAGTCTTCTATTCGCTCAACAGCACGCAGTTTTCACAACAAGTTTAGTAACACACACTACCCCAAAGTCTGAGAAAAACGCGGATTTCTCAGTTCGCCAAATTTCGGATGCCATCGCAATTCTCCTTCAAAGTAATTTCGAATGTAAGGGCATCGTTCAACCCGGGCAAAACTCAACTCAGCTCGACAAGGCGCATTTTCTGAGATATAAAGGTTCCTCTATGGGTACGGTAGGTATACGAAAGGTCAGTTTTCAGCACTTACGTATGTGCAAGGGTTCTGATCAGCTTACGTGCGTAACTTATTGTAAGTAAGACTGAAAAATTCGTGAAAAGTGACAAGAAGTTGGCTACCACCGTATTACCTACCGTACTCTAACAGGTATTCCGTACGTCAGAAAATGCGACGTCGAAATGAGCTGATTGCTTGAATTTGATCCGTTTTCTTCAAACCGAGATATGGCGATGCAAGGAGAATTTCAGCAAATCCCAGCAAAGGCGGTGTTTTTTCCACAGACTACCAGCGGTCTTGTACACACAGAAAATTGGATTTGAGTATTTCTTAATTGTTGCCCACCTCAGTAAGTCGATAAAAATGCTTCAGAGGTAGAGAAACGTCATTCTTGAACGCATAACCATCGGCAGCCACAGCCAATGGAGCGCTTTCTCGTATCCGCCACATCATCGATGATTCAGTCGCTGATTGAGCCTATGCGTGAAGTTTTTGTTAACATTCTTTCTAACAATGAGAGAAACATGTGATTCATAAAATCCTATGTTTATGCAGATGAGATGATACATGCACATACAAAATAATACTTTTACAAATCTGCTCAAAAGTTACATCAGTAGAAAAGATTAAATGAGAAGAATGTTGGAGACTGGAGAAACTGCACTGATTTGGAAATTTTTACGCAACTGGAGATCTATCCTGCGGTTATCGTTTCGCTCTAGAAAGACAGTTCAGAATTCAAGAATCGCCTTGAAAAGAAATATGATTGACTCTGGCATCTGTCAAAACCAACAGATTGTCAAAACGTGGAGTGTACCCTTTGATTCAACGAGATTGACGGCTGGAAGGCGACCGCTCGCATCCGCGAGGCAGTCTGCGTGTCCCGCGCAAACATGCTTTCTGATCATTTTCTAGCCTCAATTAGGTCATGAAGCCCGCCTTTAAGCCGCCAATCCAGTCAAATCAAAGGGTCACTTCGTTCCACCTGGTGATTTGGTTCGAAAAGAGACACTGCAGAAAATGGAAGTCGAAAATTTTACTGCTAATGTTTATGACTGGAAAAATTCTGAGGCTAAAGTGAAAAAGAGCCTTCCACAAGGTTCGACTGCTTTATAGATTTTTTTCACATCGGTTGCTGTTGAATTTTGATGCTTGCATGAAAATTCATCAAATTCCTGCCGCTTTTCCTATTCTATAGTGTTCAAAATTGCCGTGCTAGCCCCGTGTAAGCGCCTTCAAATGGGCGCTGGCACAGCGCTGGCACACGGGCGACTCTAGACGCAGCCTTATCTTTAACTTTTTTCAAGTCGATTCTAACATCCCTGGTGACTGTAGCTCGTGAAATGTATATGAGAAACTGTGCGTTATGAACCAAGATTCTTGAAGATTCTGCTTCTACTGTCAAAAATTTCATCAATAACTTTTCAGAAAATTCCTGCAAAATTTAGAAAGCCGAAAGAAGCCAAGCTAAAGAGGAGGAAATTCGGTTCTTCATGAGACGAGATGTGTGATGATTGGTGATTTACCTGCACGCCATCGCTAGCTAATTCATCATCTATGCAATGTGCCAGAAATCGCTCCATCTTTGCTGTATCATGCGATTCGTCAGAGCCTACGAAAGAGACGACTATTAAGCGATCCGGGGTCGTCGGAATACGAAATTCTACCTGAGGTCTCTATAAGTAGCGTAAAACGGGGATTCGATTGCAAAACTGGCTTAAGCCCTAAGTTTTCATCAATTGCTGTCATGGTTTCTCGGTCCAGGAACTCGAACGAGGACAAAATTTCAGAGAGATGTCGTCGAGCTAATCGCAGAATATCACAGCACGACTCAAACGTTTCAGCTCCTAAAAATTCGTACTAAATTGGCAAAAAAGCTACCATAGATAACCTATCATAGCGCTTTGTATAGAAGTTGGTTTCGGTGCCGCAGCCATAGTGATCCGGGTAATTACACCCAGTTGCCCTTCGCTACCCAAGAAAAGGTGAGGAATATGGAGAGAAGTGTTATCCTTCTTTAGGGATGATCCAACTTTCAGAATCGTTCCTTGCTCATTTGGAAGAACCTGGATGTAATATTTACGAAAACGCAATCAATACAAGTGAAGTCATAAATCAACACACAACAGTAAGTCCCAAAAGATGTGCATGAAGGCTACCGTATCGTAACAATCGCAATCCACCAGCACATGTAGCTATATTTCCACCGATCATGCATGAACCTTTAGCTCCAAGATCGAAAGGCATCATATAACTATAGGAATCAAACCATTTCTTTTGAAAACATCTCAAATGGGATTCCTTACCCATAAGGGGCTAGTTTGTTGTCCAATTCTTCAAGAATATATCCAGCGTCACATGTGAGAATACCTGAAAATGACAATTTGTGAAGATGAGTCGTGACGTAGACAATATATGCGATGAGGCCATGCGGACAACGCGGCTCTGACGCCTTCGAGTCGCGACGAGTAAGACATGCACCGAAAAAGCAAAAGTTGCGACTAGATGCAGAAAAGCTTCTAGAATTGGTGAAAGAGAACGCTTGGGTATTACAGCATCCCTTTAGAAAAGCGCAAGCCTACATCCAAGGCTAAATTTCGAAGTCTTTTGTTTGAATACTAGAGAAAATTGAAAATGACAAAGAGGATCCGCGGGAAGATCCAGTAAAAAATACGCAAATTCTCCCCATTTACAGGTATCTATAGACCCCAGGATCATCTTAGTTTACATACAAATCGGTTTTAAAATCTTGTATATTTTGCACACAGACCTTTTAAAATTTTAATAGAAAATCCATCAACTATAATCAAAACAGCACAATTTTCAATCTCTACTTCCTTTTATGATCTAATCTTCACCCATACTGCTCTTATTTATTAATTTGTTGCTTGTGCGCTCACCGTAAGCTACTATGAAGCTGCGAAGTTAATTGTGTGCGATTGCGTACTTAACGTAGTCTTAGACTTTCACATCCCATCATGCGAACGTGCTATGAACTGGTTCTTTTCCAGTATCGTTATCAAATTTACCTGATTTTTCATCAAACTCAAAGTGCTTGTTTATCCGTCTCACAGAAAGGACAACTTCATCAAACAGTGGAACAGAGCCTCCAACAAGCCCAGTATTTCCTGCCTACAATGGTCATAAATTACTCTTCAAACAGCACGTTCGAGGCAATCGCACCTGTGGGACAACTGCTATTTTTCGTTTTGAACAATGTGAAAGTATAGATGATACTTCCTCACTGGTGGATGGTAATAATACGCAGGGAGGATTGCCTGTGTTATTTTTATTTCAACAGATTATTCTATTATTTCTGCAAGTAGACTACACCTCTGAAAGCTTTCATCCAATCAGTCGCATAACTATCAATTTCTGTGGTCTTTACATGCTCTCGGCCAACGATTGACTCAAATATTCGGATGTCAGTGTCCTGCACTTTGGCAAATCTTGGATCTCTAACAACTGTTGAAAATTTTCTCAAGCTGTTTTGCAATGGCTTCAGCCACATCTGCAGCAAAGAACGTTGAAAAATATTATTCTTGTGACCACTGGTAGTCATAACAACTTCCTCTTGCAATAGAATTTTCAAAAGCCCTATTCGTAGAAAAAAAAACAGTTTGTAGACTCGGAAAACCTTAGTGCCAATCAAGGGAAGGAATTCTTCAGGTCATATTCCTCTTCTGCCAGAAAAATATCAACTATACCCATATTCATTTCCTGTGAACGTATCACAAATACATGCTGCCTTATAACAAGGACAAAGATCAATAAAATCAATAAAACCAGAAGATTATGTACATACATATATTGAAAATCAGTAAGGTAGAAAATAATAAAGAGAACTTTAGAAAGGCTATAGATTTTGGAGATCTTGAAGATTCTGATGACCACTTATCAAGCTTTATATGAAGTGAAAAACAACAGATATTACTCGTAATCTTCCAGAACACCTTCCAGATGTTGATTTTGTACTTTATGATTTTGACGACGTTTTGGTGTTTTTCGTTTAAGTTGGCCCATACCAATCCTTTTGGGTGCAAGATCCTAAAAAGCGATTTTTGATAGATAAACTGGCTATCCAGGAAAGAGCGTAGAACTCACCTTCATCGCGTCAATTCCATGTTTTTGTAAGTACTCCTCGATTTTCTTTTCGTCCAAATGATCGACAGAAACTTTGCGATAGATTTGTTTGAATTCTAAAAATTCTTTATGTTAGACAGAAAAGCTCATATTTTCAATTCTTTCAAGAAAAGCTGCTGCTTCCAAGCAAAGATTGTAAAAACTCAGTCACTGAAATGCACAGAAAGCCACTTTGAAGGATTACGGTAACAGGTAGTCGTTTTCGAAGAATTAAAAGGAAATGGATAATTTGACAGCGAAAACGTGTGATCAAAAATCAACAAAACATGATTTAAGCTTATTATACGTCACTTTCTGAGAAAAAAGGCATAAAACTTTGACATATGCGCTCCTTCAATGCACCTATTCTCAAAAAAGACCATTGGTGAAAATTTACAACCCCTTTCGCGCAAAGGCTTTTCTCCTTTATTATATACTCAACGTCATTTGCTCAAAGCACTGGGAGCAGTTGTCAAAATTCACCAAGGCAACACGACAACGCATTTCCACCAATACTTCAGGTTTTTGTTCGGTTTTCAAAAAGCTAACCCTCCGAAGCACAGAATCATTTCATATCCAAGGTTAAAAACCATCCATTTTTACAATAATTGAAAACTCTATGCAATCATAAAGATGGACGGCTGACCAGCTGACTACTGGAGTAAAAATACAGAACGATAGCAGTCCCGAGAACTTTTTAAGATACCAAATTGGTCAAAAATATCCTCTTTACAGGATGCTCGAAAAATGCTGAATTCAGTGCTAATCCGCTTGTCGAATCATTTTACAACAAAACTGAAAATTTTTCCTTCATCGTGAAAATACAGATACCACGTACTGTCAAAAAAAAATCTACTAGCTTTTGGCTGTCTCAAACTTTGCTGTTCAAATTATAGTTCGGATGTGAAGCATGAACATTTATAACATTTAGCATTTTTGTCAAATGACTTTCATCACAAAAATATAAAATCTGTCTTATGGCAAAAAAAGCGCAAATCTCCGGAAAGGACGTCTCCTTGACTAAAAAATTTGATGTCTTCCAACAATGTCTTCCAACAATGTCTTCCAACAACAACACAGCTAGGCTTGAAGCCATTCTTAAACGGGAAAGTTGAGTAAGTAGATTTGCTCCCAAGTTTTGTAAAAACCATATTGTAAGCTGTCAACAAGTGAAAAATGAATACATAACAGAAACACGTTTGATTTTTTCTAGGTTACATCTCAAACCGCTTTTTTCCATCACTCATCCATCAGCCTGTTCCAGGGCGTTGCCGTAAGAATTTGGGATTATTTAACGAGGGCATGACCATAACTAATTAGAGGATAATAACATAACCACCACATTAATAGCAGGATCCAGCTCACATTTCTCATTATTCACAATTTCTAATGACGCATTGCCCATCCAGTAATACTACTCGCGGATCCATTAACGCATTGACCCTCATGCAGCAATTGCGGGATGATAGATATTCGCCTCGGCTGCCTAATAGGCAAGAGCTCATCCAATCGACTCCCTCAATTGCTTCTAATGCAATAGGCAAGCGCATTATGGCGATCTCGAGAGTCAAAGGAAACTTTTTCTTTATGTCTGAATGGGAATGAGAATCTTATGGAGTCATATGAGAAAACGGAGGACCTAAAATTGAGAGTTTGCTCAAATTCTTCTTCATAATTATGTAAGACCTGTTATACTTCTTTGCAGTGCTTCGATATTCTTCTACTGTTGCTATGCTTTGTTTTTTTTTTCACATCAAATGCACATCTTACTGATGAGAGCCGCATTGTTTTCCCTCTTCTCACTGGACATCTGATCCGCATACATATTGAATGAATCATCTCTTTGTCATCATCGCGCATAAAACCAAACTCTACATTCACATTATCCCATGATGTAAATGATGCTGGTACCTCATGCCAAACTGCGCGCAAGCCAATATTGAAATGTCCTAAACATTAATCTCTCCGAATGCAACACTTTTTCCGCTAGCCAACTATGACCTTTGAAAGCATTTAACCATAATGCCATAATCCAATTTTGAGCAATTTCGAGAATGAGGGGCATTTGCATGAATTGGTGTTAGTTTTTCTACTAAAAGCTGTTGTATGGAAAACCTTGGCAAAGAAAGAAATGACAAAACTAGCACAAGCTGTGGCTGCAAAATGACAAAAAAAATTCTGTTTCTGCCTGATTGGGGTCAAAAAAAAATTCTCGCACATTTTTTGTGGAAAGGACAAAATTTGTCAGAAACGTATGACCGATTCCTTACCATCTTCGATCTGTATATCCAGCTCCTGGTCATTGTAGAAGAATACTTTGTCTTTTCGCTTGTTCACTTGCGTTGGAACGACGATGATTTGGTCGGCAAGAGCCTAGAATTAAGTATGTATGAATGGGCTAAGGCCAAAACTCTCAGATATTCGCGTGGCTTAGTCAAGGAAAAATGAAGCAAAACAAGAAATAGCATGAATAAGCATCGTACTATGTTCCTTTTGACAAATCGCAATTCAAAAACAAACGTTCAAGAATAGAGAGATGAATGTATAGGCATGATACGCGAAAAAAAAAAGAAACATCGAATGACGTTAAATTGAAAAAAAAAATTCCGCAAATACACACCTCCAAAACTTTCTCTCCATTCGGAATGCATTCGTTCAACTCTGATAACAAAATCCCTCCTTTGACATCTTGGTGGTGTTTTTTAGCGACCGCCACCTGAAAATTACTGATATCGCTTGAAGTAGAGGTTTTGCATAAAATGAGCTTGATTTGGCATCAAAAACTGACCAAAGATGTTTTGCCTTTGATTTTGTAAGGAGGCTTATACGAGAATTTTCCCTCTTCATCACAGCTTAATCTCGGATTCTTCGGAAGAGCCTAGAAAGAAGATAAAGTCATCGAAAAAAAACTTCGAGAGTTATCGTATCCGAGGAGAAATGATACTGAACAGTCATATACGATTGAAGGAAGGACAACCAAGGTTTAAGAAGTCAGAGAAGCGAGAAAGATATCGATTGTCTTTAGCAGTTCGAAAGACTAGATTCAAACAAATGATTACACTGTAGGAGCAAAAAAAGTTGGTGAAGTTCAATATCAGAAAAAGGCAAGAACGTACATAGAGTTTCTCCCTGATAATGCAAGAAAAAAAGAAAGCCAAAGTTGAGAAATGGCAAGGACTTCTATAATACAATAATGTTGGGGATAATTAAGATATCGAATACGACTCATAGGAATTGGATAAGTTCAAGCCACTAGAGAGTTGTATCGATTATCACTGTTCAAGTCGAAACACTCCATAATGGGACTAAACAACTATTTTCGGTCTTGCAAACATACCTCTCTCAACCATGCTTCCGACCTTTTCGGCAAGTCATAAACTTGTAACTCATCCAATATTTCTTGCAAGGAAAGCGGCCATTGTTGTTGACCAAGATGTCGTTTCTGAAACGAAAAATACTTCAACAACTAAAGCAGTACCTATGAAGTTCACCTTCATATAATCGACAATCTTGGCCATTGTACCAAAATTTGCAGCATTACTGTGTGACACCGCTGTTCGAAAGTCCATTTCTAGACGTGGAAATTCAAACAAAGCACCGAGTATTCATATGCCAGAGCTTACCTGGTTTGGCTGTCGGCTGGCTAGTAGCCTTCTTTTTCTTCTTAGCTGCTTCAGCATTGTAAGTTGTATGGCTAGCTGACGGTGAAGGCTAGAGAGAATAAAATATAGAACTGAGTCAAAAAAATGCCATGGCTAAAACAAAAAAGAAGCCAAAAGACTGTCCAGACATACCAGCTGTATTTGTGGTCGTTGCTGAACGGAAACGGTTCGAGCTGCATGCTTCTGGAACGCAGCGCGTTGCCGTAATAGCTCCGGATCCATATGAGTAACCCTAGATGTCGAAAATGGGATAAAAGCATAATGACAAAATGCGCATAATTGTATTCGATGTGAGAAAGCAGAAGTTTTGCTATCCAAGGCTTAAGACTGAAGCAATAAGCATACGCATGATCAGCTTCAATTTCACAGTGAGTGAAAAACACTAAAAGGCTCAATTTCATTTCATTTAACGAATACGTTAAAGGGCCGGGCATACTTCAAGCGATTTCGATCGCGACGCGATTTCGCAATATTCCAGGTGTCCATAACTCATTGTGAGCACATTATAAATGTACAGAAGATAGGGCATTTCATCAGTTTACGTAAGTTATACACACTATGCATGTGCAGTTTGCTAATGTTAAATCCGAAGACTTCTGGCGAATTGCCAAATCGCGTCGCGACTGAAATCGCGTAAACACTTCACGCGATTTCAGTCGCGACGCGATTTGGCAATTCGCCAGAAGTCTTCAGATCCAGTCTAGCGAACTGCACATGCATAGTGTGTATAACTTACTTGGCTTGATGAAATGTCCTATCTTCTGTACATTCAAAAGGTGTTTACAGTGAATTATGAACAGTTGATATTGCCAAATCGCGTCGCGACTGAAATCGCGTGAAGTAGGCCCGGCCCTTAAGGCGTTAAAAATTATGCGATCAAGCAGAAGAAATCTAGTGAATCTTTCTAGAGATGCTTGGCAAGAAGACGGCATAACTAAAACATCAGGATTTTGACAAAGAGTAGAAAGTATTGGTAAATTCCGGTGACCTTTAGTGGAGATGAAGCCTATGATAGCGGAGAAAATAGTGAAGGGCTTATAAAACCTTATAAAGGACGATTGTAAAGACGACAAGATATACGATCACATAATTACCTAGCAGTGGTGCAAAAGAAAAACAAAAACTTCCATTTTCTTGCAAAACTCTTCACTGCATTTGGAGTGAGACTGACTAAAGTGTACAAGTATTAGCCTGCCTCCTATGAATCGTTAGTAGTTCCGACAAAGATAAGTAACAAAAAAGTGCGAAATTTAGAGTAAAAGCCAAAAGGAAGTAAAAAGCAGATAAAGCGCTAAATAAATTTAGAAACATTATTCAAAGAATTCGAGCGAACGGAACAAAATCACACTGAAGCAGTGAGGACCGACACTTTATATTGGTACCCAATAGTGAGGCAAAAATTGATTATCTAACTCAAAATTGGATCATCACACCAAAACCCAAGTCTCACAACAAAATTAAAAACTGAGCAAGGTCAAAAATTCGCAATCACGCCGGCAAACGGCTGTCTGCACGCGGTACACGTCAATACACTGCGGCTAACGCCAGTCGGCGTGTTGACGCAGATGTGGCAACGGGGCGGTGGTTTTGCAGCTTCGCCTCGATGGCCACGCCCGGCGGTCTCTGCGCGCCCATGCCCTCTGCGATTTGGCCAGGGCAGCTGTGTTGTTGATGATTCGGGCCCTTCCGCGCACATTTTAGTACTAGTATCTCGCATGCAGGCTACTCTGAACTTCAATAGTCTTTCTTTCAGAATTGTAGAGCTCTTAGAGCTTTTTATTCTACAAATGCCTTATTTGTAAGGTGCGTTCATTCTTTTGTGTTTGTTTTTTCTTTAATTCTCATGAAAAATTGTTGGCTTTGTTTGCGATTTATGTTCTGCTTTATTTCGTACTACAAACCCATAAATACGGAATTTACCATTAGATCTCACTAGAATATATAAACCTGCTAAATATACGATTAGGCTTGTTTAGACAATATGTGCAATGCGGTCTCCTAGTCATAGAATGAATGATAAATTCTTGGATGAAATCGTTATGGAAATCTGAGATTTTTCGTTTTTGGAATGTTTGAAGTGGAATGTTGCTTGTGCTTTTTACTTTCATGGCAATTGTTAGGCCAGTTCATCTTCGATTTCTAGCCAATGATTTCCATCTTCAGTGATAGCAAAATACTCTTGTAGGTCTACTTGGATCGATCACTTATTTCTGCTAAATATAAAACTTTCGAGATATGTTTTTGTTTCATTTTCTACATTTTTCAACTTTTTTGATTTCACAAATTTGTCTTCCTCTGGATAATCTACACAACGATATCTTATTTATGCACTTTCCAATCTTAGAAGAAATGTCTTCGTTTCCTGTTTTCTCACCAAACAAAATGGTGCCCTACCACTACGCGCTGTAGACTGTTTGACCCCGACCTATGCATATAATTACAGCTGCTCTTTGTATCAGTCGGTTCCGCTTGCATTTGCCTTGTTTACTGAAAGTGTTTGTGAATGGAACCGAATGGCTATCGATAATTTGTTGACAAGATCTACAACTCACGTGTTTTTGTTTTCATTCGGATAGCACTGCCTGCAAATAGTTTGCTTGGAATGATATTCAGAGTTGATAATTTAGTCAAGCTGTTCAAAATTAGGCCAATTTCATAGCAGAAGGCATAAACAAGAAGAAAAAGGATACTTTCTCTCATTTTTTACAGTTGCAGAGAGGGCTATTTATTTTGTCCTTTTCTGCGTTATTTACCTTGTCCCTTTTATCTACGTATCCAATGTCGCTCTGCCACGTCTATCCAGCTTATTTGATTCATGATGCCTTCGAGGCTGTCACCTGCATTCCATTTATGTATTTCAAACTGACTATTTTGCTGCAAATGCCATATTATCCATTTTCTTCTTTTGCTAAAATGGGTAGCAGCTTGAATATCTGACATTCTCTGAATCGCTTTATCCACACAGAACGATTAGTCCCATTTTCTTTCCGTGCCATATCCATATTCATAAATGGTAATGACTCATAATTGATGTCATACAGGAAGAAGCAATGTGGTTTTATTCCTGCCTCGTATCTCTATCTATCCGGCAGCTTTCTCTCTTGTTAATGCTAATTCTATCCTTTTGTACATTTGGTTTTTCGAATGATTGAATCGGCACGCTAAATAGCAATCGAAAACTTTTTGAAATTTGAAACCGCATTTGCGTCCAAACCTACAAGGCCATAATTTTGGGTAAGCCCCGCTATAGAGATGTGCTTCCCGCGACAATCTATTCATAGGATTTGTGTCTTTTTACGTTTCCATGGTAATAAATGGCATTGATTTGTGGCTTATTGAGTCATTTGTAGTTTTTTCTGCTTTTGTCTTTCTTTTTGGACTGCAAGAAAGCATTTTTCTTATTTCCTCCTCTATTTTTTACTTTATTCACTCTATTCTGTGAGCTGCAAGCTTGTATTGTCAGAGATGGAGATATCCTACTTTTTGGGTCTCATCGAATTTCTGCGATATATCTCCGAAAAGGGATTCAAATGCATTTCCAGGTTTTTCTGCATCCAATAGTGTAAGGGGAATGTTTGCGACCTACATCCTCGGCCATTCGCCCTCAAAAAAAGTTATAGTGTATACCTCAACCTTGAACGCGCATTTGGTGTGTTTATGCTTCGTGAGTCGTTTATGTCGTCGATTTATTGCATGGGTACTTGCTGGCGTCAAAAAAGTGCAGTATGTGCGCCGGCGGCGACCACTCAATCGTCGTCGTGTCCCCACGCACTATTGGCGCCACATCTCATAAAATATCCGATACTCAGCGCTCTGCTACTTTTTTCTCGCTTATTCGATTTGCTCATTTCATGCACTTGAACTTGAAGGCGCTATCCACCCAAATCGAGGGTGGCTAGATTTTGATACGGTACATTAGCAGGGCTCATAAAGTAATCATTCAAGTCCCGCTGCAAAAGATGAATTCCGAAGCGAGTAAATCGCTCCAGAACATAGAAGCGGCGGTGGTCGCTCCGCCCATCAACTTGGGTGGTGAAATGGGCCCGAATGTGTCAAACTGTCGAAAATCCATCTTTGATTATGATTATCAAACTGTCAATGCCTTCGGACACGTCTGACACGTTTAAGCAAATTTGGACTTGTGTCTTCAGACCACACACCTTGATGGGCGGAGCGGCCACCGCCGCTTCCACCTTCTGGAGCGATTTTCTCGCTTCGGAACACATCTTTTGCAGCGGGACATGAGCGATCACTTATTGTTAGTTAGGGGCTCCGCTGTTGCACCGTATCGAAATCTCTCCACATTTTATTTGGAGTACATTGCCTTTGACAGGGTCTTGATTTGGCGCCTGTCCCATCTGCATTATGTTTCTGCAATTCGACCATGAGGCTTCCATTCTTAAATAAATCTTAAGCAGAATGCAGTAAAGGTCTTTTTCCATAAATAGAAAGTCAGTGGATCATGTTGCACATTCCAGTTTTTGACGCCTTGCTTTTGTGCCTGGAATAATGCAGGCGTGTTTGGTAATCTGAGAGGTGCCGAAGAAATGACGTTATCCGTTTCATCTTTTCATCTCCTTTATTTACATCTTTTAACCGATCTGAGAATCGTGCTTACTTTTTAATTCTGAATTCTCATTCATTTACTTGTGTTTCTGTCATAGTTATGTCACGTTTTGTTATTGTGATATATGATGTTTTTAAGAGGTATGAAATCTTCTTGACTTCCTTTATACAGTCGTCTTTTTCTTTTTTCTTGTGATGAAAATTTCTGAATCCAGTCGTTGCTGGAAACATTGAACATGCTTTTACCTCGCATTATTTTCTTGGTACAAATGTAGATATATTTTTCTCCAGTGGCGTTTTCTAGAAACTTCAAAGTCTATACCTTGGCTATGAGTTGTGTGAAGAAATTTACTCACATTAGATTTTCAGCTTTTTCGAGTGAGAACAACCCCGTATCTTTGCCTTTCGATTCGACAATATTTTGCGCAATCGAAAACACTGCAGATGTCTGACATGTCGTACTGCTTCTTGCCTGGCACGAGCATCATCTCCACTCTCATATAAAGCCTCATTGAACAAATGGTGAAATGAATGGGGATTAGATAATTTTTGTGTGCATGAATGTGGGACTATTTATAGAAACTCTCCATTATCTGTCAATAGTTGATAATTAGGATAAATTTGATTGCAGTATATTATCGCATTCACAGAAAAATATAGGTTGGTGT